TATGAAGAAATTCAACCTCATTTTTCTCTTGGCATTTTTTTTCTGTTAACTGGATGACTATTTGGATACCCATTTAAAGTTCCCGATAGGCACATTTGGTGTTTTTCAAAGACAGCATCTAGAGCAAGAAATGGTTTTTTCCTTTTTTTTTTGGTTTTATTTTTGTTTTTGTGATCTGTTTATGAAAATGAAATGAAGGTGGGGTTTTATAATCTTTGCCTTTGTCTTTCAGTTATGGAAATAGCTATGCAAATACTTTGTGCTTCTTCTTCCATGCTTTTGAAAGGCATTTGCTTGTTGAAGTTGGGAGAAAAATAAAACTAGCATAAAGGCATTGTTAGGAGATACACAATTTGATACATTATACCCTTGACAATTTCTTTACTTTGCCATTCTTATATGTTTAAGATAGGTTTTTAAATATTTGATTATGCTTTGGGGTTTTCCAGTTGCTCAAATAATATATCAATATAATGTCGTGGTCCCCAGAAGACGTTGATATTAGCTGGTTTCCAAAGAAATATACATTTTTTTTCCAGGTAGTTGAGAGTTGAACTCTGAGTGGGGATACTGTGACTCGACCCTGGAGTCAAGATATTCCTTAGCCTGTAGGTGTTCTTTCAGAACGAGCCTTTCCCAAGAAACGAGAACAGTCAAGTGAGCAAGAGATGATCTTTGTTAGTTGTTGATAACGAATGTGTTTTTATTTTTCTCAGTGATCTGTCATATCTCGAATTCCCATCTCCTGTAATCACTTTTGTGTAGTTACATAACATGCAACCAATGCTGGAATAAAGTTAAAGTGATCATAGAAAAGAAAGCTCATTATAAATCACAGTTGTGGCAAAGCTTCTTCCTAAATCTTCCACTTTGATTTTTAGGAGCAGCTACCAGAACTGCACAGCCATTTCTGTGACCTGAACCTGGAAGCTCATATGTACGCATCCCAGTGGTTTCTCACCCTTTTTACTGCCAAGTTCCCGCTCTGCATGGTGTTCCACATCATCGACTTACTGCTTTGCGAGGTAGAGTGACTTCTGTCTTTCATACCCAAGTCAAAACAGAAAATAGTTTCTGCTTATAATGGTTACAGTTTTCTTCATTTTCTTTTTTCCTATTACATTAAGCCATAAATACTCACTCACCAAAAAGATCCATTTGAATGTTTAGTAAAGAATATGTTAATTATAATTTTATTATTTGTGAGGAATGGAAATAATTAAGGCATGTGTCATTCCTACAAAGTAAAATGAGGTGATTAAGTTTATATAATTTAAATTCACAATAAGCCTATATCTGTGTAATAATGTATTACAAATATAAAGGACTTTTAAGGTTAAATAAATGAATTTAGAATCAGGTGTTTTTAATATTAATGCAGTTATATTCCAAGAGTGAATATAAATGAGATTTTGACAGTAACTAATTCCTCAATTCATAAGATATCTTTCTGTGTATGATGTTTGAGGCTCCTGCCAGATGATGAGAGAAATGATAAACTAAAGCTATTATGTCATCTAATTATATTTTTAGACAGTAAAATATTTCAGAAATTAGTTTGTAAAATTCCTTAGGTGTTTATATTTGTTTATTTTATTGTTTTTAGTTCCTTAGGTGACTATATTTGTTTACTTCACTCTTTTGAAGAAATAAGCAATATTACACATACATACATATTATGTTGCCATCAAAATGTTTTGACAATTTTAGCAGTAATAGGAAAGTTGCTGGTTGAGAAGTATATATTTTTAATAGCAGTATAAATATATATATAAAAATATAGCTGTCTTAAAAAGCAGAAGTAATCAAAAGTGTAAACTTATGTACATGATTATAAGCTTAATATAGTCTGGACAGTTTCATGTTATTATACTTTTAGGTAAAAATTCTTCTTTCTTAAGTCTGTTTTAATCACAGTAGGAATTAGAAGTTTAAGTGTAAAAGCAGGATTTAAAAAGATAAAATGTATTAATATAAGCATAACAGTGTTATTTCTCAGCCTGCTACAACAGTGATGATACTCTATGCAAGCTTAACTGGGCTTCTGCTCTTCAGAGGCTTCAGTTAGTAGTTGTATTTACCTGAAGGTCTGTGAACACTTTGTACGCATGTAAGATTTTTAATCATTTGTACCATACTTTGATAAAGAAGGGTTGGGTGACTTGCTGGGTTCACAGAATAAGTTCCTGAATCCTGAATATATTAAAATAACAGCTAGAGAGCCTGGTTGTTAACACATTAATTCTCCTACTCGTTTTACTTACAAATTAGTTTGTAAAGTACCTTTCTAAATTTAACTTAAAGGAAGAAAGTAGAATCAGGAGCTAAAAACCTTATTCCAAGTGAGCATGGTGTGACCACAACATATACAAAGCATATTTAGGCATTTGTACTAAAATCTCTACTTTGCCTGATTATTCAGATTGGTTTGGTAACCAGTTCCAATTCCCCAATTTTAGTACGATGCTCTTTGAAAGTAAAAACCAAACTCACACAAGCTAATACTAAAAGTTTTGACAAATAAATAATCATGGACTTTATTTATTACACACTGAGCTTAGTGATGGTATTTCATAAAAGCAGGAAAGTGCGGGCATGGCATTTTAACAGTTTTTGCATTATATTAATATATAATGAGAGCTTGCAAATATTATCATTGCTTCACTTTTTTTGCTGAAAGAGATTATCTAATTTTATACTAGATTGGTTATATAGTATTCATTATAGAAAAGGGAATGAAATTAATGTGCTTAATCATAACTAGCTAAATGAGATTTCTCAATCACTTTTGGTAGAGTAATAATGCTGTTCTTTAGTTCACTGGAATGGTGACTTCCTAAAGTTGTCTCTGCCTGAATGATGGCACTCCTGGCAGCAGAG